TGGGGAAACTGAGGCCCAAATGTTCAGTGACTTCCCCAAGTCCTGCAAGCTCTTCAGAGGCAAAATATTGGACAAACAAGTTCCATGAATTGTCGCCCTGGGTTTCCTTCGGACCATTTAATCTCATTAGCTGTTCTTCAGCTATGGTGGCCAGGAGAACAGACCGATGCGCTGACCTGCCTGGCAGGAGGAAGCCTTCCTTTTCAGTCCTGAGCAGGAGGGGTGCCAGCAGGGTGATAGTGCCCTTTGGGGGGGAAGTTTCTGACCCTCATCAGCGTCCTGCTCCATCCCTCTGTCCTTAACGGAGGCAAACCCAGTGGTCAGAACCCAGGAAGGCCATCCCATCCCCCCACCCCCCAAGTGGGTCTCAGCCCGCCCACACTGCTTTGGGCCCACTGCTTGGGAGAGAGCAGGGCTCCATAAAAGAATCTGTCTACGAGGGTACCCGTGTGCTCAACATTTTGTTTCTAACTCCCCAAAGCTAGGCAGCTTTTTTTCTTAAGACATGTTCTTTAAAAATTTATTACTTCTCACTGAGGAGCAAATTCCAACTGACAGCTAATTTTCTGTGTGCAAATAAAACGCTTTGTCTCTGAAAGGAAGAACAAAGTTTAGCCATTAGGAGAGCCCCTGGACTTTTTCTCATATGAAAACAAATTAAATTACGAACTTCAACAACTTTACAAAACGTACCCTACTGCACGACTGAACACTGAACTGTTTACAGCCCCCTGTTCTATTCAGTCGGTGCTCATTATCGTAATTACTGTGAATAGTATTACTGTTTTGTGTTCTGCTTTTTTCCCTTATCTCTACCAATGTGCTAATTAATCCAGTGTCCTAATTAATGGACATTTGGATTATTTCCAGTGTTTCTCCCAGCAAATCGCTAGACCTGTGATGGACTGATTGTGTCCCCTAGAATTCATATATTGAACCCCCAAACCTCAGCGTGATGGTTATTTGGAGGTGGGGCCTCAGGGAGGTAATTAGGATTAGATGAGGTTTTGAGAGTGGGGGTCCCGTGTTGGGATTAGGGCCCCATATAAGAGGAAGAGACCAGCCCGCCCTGTCTACCATGTAAGGACGCAGCAAGAAGCCAGGCAGAGAGCTCCCACCAGGAACCTAATCTACAGGCGCCTTGATCTTAGACTTCCAGCCTCCAGAACTGTGAGAAATAAACGGCTATTGTTTCAGTGATTCAGTCTCTGTCCTTTTGTTACAGCAGCCCGGCTGACTAAGACAAGATTCCAGAGTGATATGGACAACTGCCAAGTGTCTATTTGGCCCTCCATGAGCTGGCTTCCGCTTTTGTGAAGAGGACAAAAAGTGGGAAGATGCTGACATCACCAAGGTCAGGACTGATGGTGGGGGAGGGGATTCACCTGCTCCTTGAGCATTCATTCTGGGAAGACTAGGGGCTCTGTGCCTGGGGGGAGGGGGGACACACCTGTGGCAACGAGGAGGGTGAGGGTAGGGGACCCAGGAGGCACCTGACAGCAGGAGAACTTCAGAAAGGTGAACCAGGGCCCAGCTGCATGGTGAGGACAGACAGATGAGGCTGTGGCTGGAGCAGACCACCACGACCAACGGTCTGAAACACCAAGCCCTTTCCTGGGAAATTTCCCACAGGGCTCCTTTTGTCCAACATTGTAGTTTGAAAATTCCAAACCCACAGAAAAGTTGGAAAAATAATACTACAATGGACACACATATACCCTTCATCTTAACATTTTGCCATCCATGCATTTCCCAGTCTACACACACACACATGCACGCGCTGTGTGTGTGCAACTGAATCATGACGTGTCATCCCTAAATGTTTCAACATACATCTTCCTAAGAACAAGGGCATTTTCCTACATAACCACAATGCCAGCATCACACTCAAGAAATTGAGCATTGATACAATAAAATGATCTAAGAAAATATTCATTTGAGAAGTGCCCCATTATCTCCCCAATGTTCTTTATAGCTTCCCACCCCCATCAAGAACCCAATCAAAGATCAGGCATTGCCATTATCTGTCATGTCTCTTTAGTGTCTCCTTTGATCCTGCCTGTTTTGTGTTTGGTGACATTGGCCAGCTGCCTTCTGTGAAGTCCCTACTCAGTCTGTGAGTAGGGCTAGGACCCAAGCGAGGGTCAAGGTCTGGGCTCTGGCACAGACACAGAGATTTGAGTCTAGTGCTGTCTGAATGACCCTTGACCCCTGCTTGGGATTCCTAAGACATAGCCTTGCTGGAACCCACACCTCCATTCGGTAAGAAGCCAGGCAATCCTAAAACCCCAACCCACACATCAGCACCAAAAAGCACTGTTTTCTGGCCTTAAAAAGGACCAGCTCTGGCTCTGGACATTGTTTACCGTAATTCTTTGGAGGGTGGGGCACCCCTGTCCTGCTTCCTCTGCTGCCCACCCCACACTAATCCCTAATACTTAAGTCCTAATACTACAGGTCTGCCCCCTGCCAGGCCTCCGCCCGGCCTGGCTGATCTACCCCATTTCCTTAGTTGCTGCTCAGTGTCCCAGCCCATCGTGGGCCCTCGGGGAGGGCCAGCATCTCAGAAGAAGCTTTGCGCTTTGCGGGGATTCACAGCCACAGCCCAAGGCTGCCTCCCTGGGCTCCCGATCCTTCTCAATAATCAGCTTTGTGAGGCGGAGGCAGTGACCCCCCCAGGCCTCCCGGCCTCTGGCAGGGAGGGAGACGATTGGATTAGAAGGGATGCAGTTAATGGAAAATGAAGGGGGAGGGGAGAGGCAAGTTAAGTGCTGCTCCCCGGAGCAGTGATTTGCCGCTCCCTCTCTCCTCTCCCTGTGCTGCCCTCCACTTAGTGAGAGGCAAGGAGGCTGGCTGAGGGCCTCACCTGCTGCCGCCCGGAAAAGCAAGCGACCTGAGTTGTTTTCCGCAGGGGTCTTTCCAGCCTGTTCTGCAGGCTCTGGCCGAATGATAGTGAACAGACAGCACTGGGACCTGCTCTTGAAAATGCCCAAGTCCGTTTCCAGACAATTTCTTAGTAGCTTCTCCAGGGGGAACCCCACCACTGGAAGCTGGGGGACAGTGGATATCCGTGTCCCCTGCCCCCCGGCACGTGACCCCAGGTCCTTATGCACAGCAGTGACTTCATGCTTGCCGGTTAGAGTTGAGGGGGGCTTGCCTGCTCAGAAAGGGTTGGGGACCTGAACCCGCAAGGGAAGGGCAGGCTCTCCCTCTGAGTGAGGAAACTGAGCTCAACTTGATTCTCGAATTGGGTGGGTCTCAGGTCAGGGTGTGGTGGGGGGAGGACCAGCATCAGCTGGGGGCGTCAGAGTCTGGTGGCCCGTGAGCCTCCGTAGGATGCCTTGTCCTTCGAAGCGCCCACTCACCCTCACAAGACGTGCTTTCTCCCAGACAGAGGCAAACTGTGCCAGGGCTGCTATTTAAACAACACTAAACCCATTACATTAGATATCATATTGCAGGGAGCCCAAAGGCCTTGTAGAAAGTTCTTTCAGAAGAGCTGTACCCCAAAGGATCAAGGTAGCACTGAGCGCCACTAAAGGACACTTTCAACTTCAGTCTAGATGCTGCTGCTGGGTGACTGAGGGCCACCGTGTAAATTAGGAGAAGAAAGGAAAGGCTGATTGAGAGCAAGCCTGAAAAACGGCCCACACGGCTCCCCTGTTCCCAGGAGGCCTGACCGCAGGAGAACCCCAAATATGGGAGCAAACCTAACACATCAGCACCCATCCAAACCCTACCTCATGGCCCCGGGTGCAGTTAGCACGGGCAGTAGGGCCTCGGCCCCCCGCACAGAGCGCTAGCTCATTAAACTCAACTCCTGCCCATCCCGGATGAACACAACAGCCCTCCGCAGGCTGGTTAGACAGTCACTGTAATGACACAATTACTCACCCGCTTGTCAAAGCAAAGCGCCACTCAGAGAGGGTCTGGTACATTTACTCAGCAAACACAATGCCTCTGCCCAGCCTGCCCCTCCCGCCAGGGGGTTTTCTCTCCAGTGTACCCCACTGTGTCCAGCAAACTCCAGAGTGGGCCCTGCACACACGCTGACACCAAATCCGCCTGCTCGGGGTTTCCACCGCCCTGGCCATCCTCCCTTCCAAGGACAGGAGCTCAGGCGTAAGGACAAGGCATTCAGATCAGACCCGGGACCCTCGGTGGTGGCCTGGAGGGGCCAAGGTGCTGAAATCCTGGGAAGGTGCCTGGGCTTCGGCCTGGCAAGTAGGCTGCCAATCTAAAGAGCGGCGTGGGCAAAAGTGTCTGGGGCTGGTGCGTGGGTGCAGGCGAGCTACCAGACACCTCTGGGGATATCCTGAAGCAAGACAGGGGGCCAGGCCCCAGCCATCAGGACAGCTGGGGGCAGAGCAGGAGGGTGCGTTTGGGGCGCTCAGCTGAGCTGCAGGAGGCTTTATCTTGCTGCTTCACTCCACACTGGCCAGGCTGATCTGCTACCCCAGGGGAGATGTGCCAGAGCACCGGAGCAGTTTGAAAAGGACAATGAGAATCACTGCGAAGGTCGGCGCCTTTCTCTCAGTACCCCTCCCCTCCCGTGCACCTCATAGGCGACATCACTGACTTTTTTTTTTTAAGTATTATTTTTTTTCACAAGCAAGGCAACTCTCTTAGCCGGCCTTGAAGTAAGCCACATGCACGTGGATTTGGGAACCCGTGTGCGGGCGGGGTGGGGGTGGGGGTGTGCGCTCAGCGAGAGACGCTGCGGCGCAGCAGTGACTGTGCCCGGGAGGGCGTCCAGGCTCCGGGCTCGGGGAGGCCGGGAAGAGGAAAGCAAGCGAAACAACAAAACACAACTCGCACAGGCTCGTCCCTCGGCGTCACTTTGTGAGGGAAGCCGGTGAGTTTGCTCGCCGGACCCTCCTTTCCTGCCGGCCACGGGCTCTGTCCTCCCTGAGGACACCCGGCCCGAGGCTGGGGGCCCGGCTCCCGGCTCCGCGGCGGGGGGACCCCGGCAGAGGTGGGGAGGGGCTCCGGCTCCGTACCTGCCTCGCCTCGGCAGCCTGTTCTTCCGTCTCCGCCGGCTCGGCGCGCTCCCCCGGCCCCGCGGATTCTCCCGGCCCCTCGGGCTCTTCCGGCTCCTCGGGCGCAGCTGCCGGCTCCGGGGCTCCGGGGCCGGGCGGCGCGGGGGTCCTGCTGGCCTCGGCCTGGGGCGCGGGCTCCGGGGGCGCGTGGGCGGGGTCTGAGCTCGCGGCCAGTCCGCGCCGCACCAGCAGCCAGGCGAGCAGCAGCGCCAGCGCGGTGGCCAGCGCCGGGAGACCCCGAGGGAGCCCGCCGCGCGCCCGCCCGCGCCCCGCCCCGGGGCGGAGCCCTCGCCGCGCCCCGCCCCAGACATCCTCGGCCCCTGGGGCGACAGGCCCTTGGGGACCTGAGCCCTGACTCTTTGGAAAGCGCGGCACCTGAGACCGAGGAGGGCCCACCCTTCCCTGCCGCGGGCAGGCCTGACGCTTTTGAGTTTAGGCTCCTTTTGAAAACCGGGTTTGAAATACGTATTACTTAGGTGCCCTTAGATTGTCATCTTTCAGCAACATTTTGGCCCTGTCAAGTTCTCTCAGAGCATTTTGGAAATTAAGTGCTAGTTGGGGCCAAGTAAAGCCAGAAAGGCTGACATAAACTGCCACTGGACTGCCTGCAGGGCAGTGGAAACTCAGCGTCAGCCCCTTTTACTTTTAGCCAGCTTATAGACATGTCCACAGCTTTTACAGTGTCGGTTGCCTTAATACATGTTCACAGAGGCCATTTGCAGCTCCTGGCCTGTGAATGCCCCTTCCGGGTTGGAGCCCAGCAGCCCTGAACACTCGCCTGTGTAATGTGACTGCTCTGCAAAGCCAGGTTTCTGGAATTCAGCTGCAAGCGCTTCGGGGTCAGCTGCTGCCCCTGACTTTTACCCTTTGCATAACTGTGGAAGGCTGGGAGGCTGAATGAGGGAAAGGAACTGTACTGTTTTTGTTTCTTCAGTCCTCCCAGGGTCTGTTGCTGAACAGTGTATGTTTGAGATAAATATGTTATAATCAAAAACATCACTTCATCACTCCCAACCCCCTCTCTAGTTATTTTAAACAAACACGGGGCTGACAAAGTCTGTCAGGTACCGTGGTAAACGTAAGGCCTAACGTGGAAACAACAGGGTTCTGGTTTTTGCTGAGGAGGCATTTCATATTGTTTTGGAAAAACTGCAGTGCCTGAGCTGGACTGTGACGTAAGCCAAGATGGGAGATGGACTGCTTCCTTTTAAATGGAAGATGCGAGTCTGCTCGTAAGCTGCTTGAGTCCAGTTACGACAAACAGGATTCTAGCAACAGTGAGCTGGGTGGTGCTGTTGCATCACATATTATTAAGGGGAACATGCAAAAAAAAGTTAGCGGTCACTGATGAAACACGCCCCACGATGGTAACATGTGGAATGGGGTTTAGCTCTTGCCTACTGGCTTCTGACCACCCGGGGACTTGCTGCCAAAGTGGGCCTTATTTTTGTCCTGCCCCCATTGTTTTAAAATATACGAGTATATATTTAAGAGGTTCTACAGTGGAGACAAACTCGGTTACCATGAAAGGAAACCAAGATAAAACGCAAAAAACCTGCAACTCCAAATCAAGTTGCTTTATTTAGTGATGACCAAGCTCCGTCCAAGTGAAAGTTAAAAAGGCCAATCGAATGGCAGAGCCACGGGCATTCCATGGACCCCACTGCGAAACGGAGGCAGACCCAGGAGGCTGCTCGGTGTTGTTTGACAATGACAGGAGGCACGAGGTATACTCAGCACAGTCTGGGTTCTTCTGTGGTGTCGTCACCTGTGAGACAGCAGGCCTGGGCCAGCTCTCCTGGGCGCTTCAGTGGGGGCCAGATGTTTGGAATTTCTGGATTAACAATGAGACAAAGCTGAGAGCCACGGCCTGAGGGCACACAGTGCTTGTGGCTTTGCTGTACTCAGTGTCACATCAATGTCACATCTTGACCGAAGCCAGGGAGAGGGAGTGTGAGGAGAAACCGGACTCAATGTGAACCGTCAGCAGTGCTCGGAACACGCACAACAAACAACTTACGTGTGCAAAGGCTACACACAATCCAGGGAGCTAAGGTGCGTGTGTACAAGCCCAGCTCCTGGACAGCACCTCCTACAATTACGCAGAACTCTTCCACACCACACTGTGTCTAGGGTCCTAAATCCCATCAAGGCTGAGCCTCTAAGAACTTCGGAAAGCACCTGCACCACCAGCCTCCTGGCTGGTCCTTAAATCCCTTCAGCTGATTTACAAAGGAACCACTACCAAGGGAAGAGTACAGCTGTAAGAATAGTGATTTCTTTTATGATCTCTCACACTGGCGTTTCTAAGGCCTGAACTTGCTTTTCTGATTGTGGAATCCACGCCCAGCTCTCCCTACCCCGACCAGCAGCCCTCAAGAGCAGCACACTCCCTGCCCTTCAGCCCCACCAGCTCAGGGCTTTCACTGCTCCATCTCCAGCACCCAGAACAGTGCCTGGCACCCAAACATTTGTTGAATGCTTGAGTGATTAATAGAAGGGCATCTGCAAACATGAGTGAGATGTGAGTAATGTCCCCTCAAAGGCATCACCTTATACATCACAGCGCTTCTCAAGACCCCAGAGGCACCTGTGTGCAGCACTGGATACTTCAAGCTGACAGTAAAGCCACTGGTGCCTCCCTGAGGTCCTGGGTCCCCCACCCTGCTCCTCTCCATCAGTAGCTACCAGTCCAAGATCCCTTCTTCCAGGACCCAGCTCGTTGGTTATATTAGCTGTCGTCTCAGAAAATAATCCCTCAAAACAGCTGAACGCTGAATCCTTCACCTCGCTCTTGTTGACCCCCCTCAAAGGAGCAGCTCGTGCCAGGAGGTCGAAGGGTTAACTGTGGGACGCTGGATCCCTTGTTCCCACGTCCTACGGGATCATGACCGCCCAGCCCCCACTCCACTTCTTTCTCACGGTTTCCCCACCTCATCCCTGATCCCTGATTTCTGGATATTGTTTATCTAACAGGAATCACCTTTGCTTTCTGGGGAAGGAAACCTGGGTGGCTAATCAAATTCAAATTGCCACTGGACCATCCCAGCCACTGCAGCGTGTCTTATCACGCCCCCTAGTGGCATACAGCCTTTTGGGTTTGCCTTTTTTCTGTAAACTGAAGCTTAGAGAGAAGCAGTTGGTATGCATTTGAGAGAACGTATGATAGGCAGCAATACTGAGGGACAGATAAAAGCCTTTTGAAGATGACACGTTTTTTTAAAAGGAGGAAGAGGAACGCCATTTAGATATTAATACAAAGAGATTATGCCTTCAGGGTTCTACCGCACTCACACCCAGGCACAGACCCGGCCCACCCTGGCACCAGCCAGGGTACCTGGCAGGGTGGTAGGGGCGGAGGTGGGAGGAGAGCAGCAGTGCAGGCAGGTAGGGCGATGGGAGCCAATGACAGGAAGGTAGCAGCTTTCCCCCAACCCAGGCACATTTAGGTTGGCATTTTAGGATGCAGAAAACCGGACTAAGACAAAATAGGGACCAGCCTCCTAGAGAAAAGCCCCATGACCGAGCCAGTGTCAGGAAATGCTAACTAGTTCGTTAAAAACGTAACATTAGAACTTGGCCCTATTTATAATTTAAGCTCCATGAGAAGAACACATTGAATACCTTTCCCACTTTTCATTAACAGAAAACCCCGATGTCATCCCTCCCCAAAATATAGCACACAGAATCCCTGGAATTTCACAGCCTCTCTGACCATGGAGCAAAAGGTAACGAATCCCAGGCCAGTACTAGGCAGTGGCAAGTGGTGCTGGACACGCTGGCTGGGTTACTGCCACTGAACTTGGACGAATGGTGACACACAGGAAGGTGGCACACGCACACTGCGTCTTACATGTAGCTGGTTCACACACAAATCCAAGTCCACCACCCACCACTTGCAGCATCTCTGCATGTCTGCGGCCAGCTCTGTGGACAGCAGAAGGAAGTTCCTTACCAACCTCTGTGAGGTGACAGGTGCAACACGACATTCAAAGGATCACAACTCTCCAGCCTTGGGGTCGACCAGCTTGTTTTAAAGGAGACGGCACAGAACCTTCTTACCCAACACGCATCACATCAGCCTTCAGTGTTTCACTGAGCTTGCCAAGTTCTTAAACTTCTTCACAATCTATTCTTAGTGAGCAGTAAAAACAGCATTTGACCAAAGACAGATGCTTAGACCAGAGAAAGATGATCCAAATTCAAAGACAAAGGAGAAGGCAGGAGAAGACGTGGCCACCAACAGCTTAAACGGGAGCCACCTCAGGGAGTCGCTTTATCGGCTCAGGGGTGAGCATGGCCTCCACAAGTGTCCCTAATCCTGCCACGGAAAGTGCAACTGCCTGTAATCAGCATGTGGACAAGCACAGCTGGGTGCACAGCTGGACGGAAATGTTAGAAGCAGTGCCCCTAGAGCCCCCATGTTGAAATAATGGCAGGGCTCGCTCTAGAAATTCTTCTTACAAATTACAGAGTCACACCTCAAGGGTAGACACAAGTCTGTAATAATAGACACAACTGAAAAAGGCAAGAGAAATCTAAGCATGGCTGTGAAAAGGACAACTCGGGTTGAGAAATGCATATTCTATATTCACTTGAAAAAGACATCTGCATTTCCCCATGGAATTCCAGCCAGAGCCTAGAGAATAGGGAGAGAGGACAGAAAGGAATGTGGGGCCTAAACTTTCATAACATATTGAAGAAAACACTCAGCTGCTCTGAGGTACAAAGAACCTGACAGGAGCGTCACCCGTTAAGCAGCTGAGGACGTCACACTTAGAATCCTACAAATGATAGTCTTGTCCCATCTTCCTGGAACTTCACCCCTTCATGCTGCAAACAGACAAACTTCCACTAGCACACTGTACACAGGGCTCTGGGATTATTAAAGGCCCAGGACACCCGAGGGTCACCAGATTTCACCGTGAGCCTGTTACGTGCCCAGCACTGGGGCAGGTGCTTGCAAAGGCTACCTTATTGATTTTTAGTTTAAGTTTTAGCTTATTTAAATCCAACGTGTTTTTTTAAAAAATGGAGACATGACTAACATTTTATTTAAAAAATCTGAGTTCTTTGCTGCTGTCCGCCTGGGCCCAACCCTCTAAGCAGCAGGAGGCCAACCTCAGGCTCTTTAGAAGATGCCAGGAAACTGCCTGAGTATTTTCCTCTTTTGCTGCTGCTATGACCTCTCCAGCGAGGGGACACACCAGTGAGTCACTACTTTTCCCCGAGACTACGATAAGAAGAGCAACACGGGAAGGTTCTGGTCTTCTCAAAAGAAAAACAATTCAAAGCTATAAAAGTCGTTCAATTTTTATTAAATAACGTAAAGGGTTTCCTTGGCACCATCCAGACAGATTCGCCTTTATGCATAAAACAAGCCACGTTAACTTGCATTGGAAGCAGAGAGAAAAGCAACTGCAGCAAATGCTAAGTGAATGGACTCGTACCCCGGAGCGTCCTCACTCTGGCTTTCGCCGGCCCTCCCCATGTCCGCAGGATCCAACAGGCTGCCCTCCCTGAGCCCTGCCCCTTCGCTGCGGGCACGTCCTCCTACACAGACAACCGCTGTGCTTGGTCACCTGGAGGAGCTGCGCTCTTTGCTCACACAGTCGTCCTGGGAGGTGGTGTCCCCATTTCCCATCATGCTGCACGTCCTCCTCTTCTTCCTGCGGTGCATCGTCCCGTCACCTTCAGACCCTGATTCGCACTGGACACGGGAGGAGAAAAATCAGGAATTCAGCCTGGACAGAACCCATTTCTTCATTATGCCAACCTCCCACATCAGGAGATGGCACAAATATCGACCTTTCCCCCTGGTGGCAAAGCAGCCGTGTGTGACCGCTTCATAATGTAGTCTGAATATCCACCTCCTCAGATATTTCTGGCTCCCAAAGAATTACAATGTTCCCTTAGGTGCCAAGTGTCCCCCAGGATTATTTGTTTGAAATCAGGGCACCCATTCTAAGAACGTTTACGGCCAGCATTCTGAGATTGCGTTATGGAATTTCACTCGACCAACACAGAGCCTGATGAGTGAAAGTGAGAGCAGCACTTAACATTCGCAAACACAGCAGCTCAGGCCTCAAGAAAGGATGAAATCAGTCCACGATGCAGTTACGGACAAATGCCATCTGCTAAGGGCACAGGCCCCTCTTACCCAACGTCACAGTAGCTGTTAGCAAGTCACTGAGTTTGCGGGGTTTCTAGGCTCACAGTTGACCATCAACAGGGAAATTGTTACCTTGGCCTTTGAGGTCAGAATGCTCGGAGATTGAATCCCGACACTGCTGTTTGCCAGCTGTGTGACCTTGGGCCATTTACTTAATGGAATTTCAACCTCTTGGGGTTGTTGACAATTCACATACACGTGTAAAGCTATAAAATGGGCAAAAGTCACCACACAGCTGGAATGACGGCAGCTGTAGTTCTGGGAAGAAAAGTGGAAACTGTTCACATCTTTCTCCCTCCTGGATGGGAGGAGGGAGCGTCACCTCTGGTTATCCCCCAGTGACCTGCCCTGGAGGCCTCACCTCTGAGTCTGAGTCGGACGAGCTGGAACTGGACGAGCTGGAGGAGTCACTGGAACTGTCTGAGGCGATCCCTGTGGATTCCTGAAGGTCAACGGAGTCGGCCAGGACCGCCAGCTCGGGGTGCTCTTGCTTCAAGATCCTGAGAGACAAGGACTGTTCTCAGTGCTGGGACAGGCAGCAACACCCACACAAGTAACCCAGACTCAAAGCTGAGACCTGCCTCTCTTAGAAGCACCTAGGAACGCCAGGTGCCTCTGGCGGAATGAGTGATGCAGAGTGGTGAGGACACGAGTCCGCAGGCTGGGAACGAAAGCCCCAACATGCTGCTCAGGCTTTTCCAAAAGGAAAACTAGCTCAGTTTACTACCAGCGGCGCCAATGAGCCAGACGTGCTGCCAACTCGCGAGGCAACGTTTCCTTGAGTTTGTCTTAGTTTTATCCCCTTGGGAGAAAGTCTCTCTCGGCAGTTTTTTCCCCTGAATTTTTCCTAGCTCATTTTTTCTGCACCTTTCCTTTCCACAGCACACAGCACTTAATGATTGGTGTTGGTTAAATTCTAAGAGTAGAAACAATTTGGTTTGTAAGAAATAACAAGTGTCAAGTAAGAGAGAGGGTCCTCCCTCACTCGAAGGTAAAACTGAACAGAGGCAGCAGCCCTCCGGTAGGAACCTAACCTGGGACCGTAACCAGGAACAAAAGACCTGCTATAAGGTTAGGTCTTTACAGTGACCAAAATGCAGCAGCAGCTACGGGAGGGAGGGAGGAAGTGAGCCTCAGATGCCCGAGAGAGTCGGGGAGAACAAAGCCACCACCCTTGCTGGCCCTCTCAGCAGGGGGGCTGAGCACTGAACAAGCCAGAATCCCTCTCTTACCCCGAGAGCTGGTCCCTCCAGGTCAGGGTTGGGACACAGTGGCACGGGGTGGCTGGGGGTGGCTTGCACTGCCGCTGCCCGTGCTGTATCTGTTCTGTGGATAAACAGAGGACCTAAGTCTCCAGGGCAGTCACCTCACTCACAAGAACTGAAGGTAATAAGTTCAAATGGGACTAATGTTTCTGGGTAAGAAAAAGAAATAACCAAAATAAAACCCAAACAAAATGGCTTCCTTTGCTAGTGCTAGCTTTGGGAAAAAGAAGAACAAAAAACAAAACAAAACAGAAAACGAGAAACAATCCCAATTGTGACCATGTTTTGACTGACTGGCTTCGATCAAACATGCATTCTTCCGCTGTCACCTCGAGGCTGGCAAGCACCCTGAGAGCGAGCCCTGACCTAGGACCCGCTAGCTCTTCCTCTACCCACGAGCTCTGGCAGTCCCAGCTTTTTCCAGGCCTGGCTAAAATCAGCACGTTATTGCAGCAGTGGATGCTTTCCATTTTATCTCTAGGGGAGAAACTGGAACAAAGCAACAAGAAAAAAAAATCACTCACCTGTACCATTTCCTTGATAACTTTGGTCGCCCTCTTACCGTCTTGTGCCATACAACAGGGAAGTTGGTGTTGCTGGCAAAATTCTGGGTGACGGCAATGGTGGTGTCAAGATTGAGAACAACGTGCCACCAGCCTCCTGCAATCCAACAGGCGAACAGTTAAATCGGGTTTGGTTCTGTACACTGACACTCCCTAACATAAACCTCACACAACAGAAACTTCAGAGTCAGGGATTCCTAGCCACACAGAGTGGTGAGTGTTCCTCCTGGCCCAGGAATCACAAACGACTTGTTTGTGTAAAGTCTTATCGGAGCACGGCTGTGCCTGTTCGTTTACGGATTGTCCACGGCTGCTTTCCTGCTATGCGGGCAGAGTTGAGCAATTGCGACAGAGGCCGTCTGGCCGCAGTGCCTAAACTATTTACTCTCTGGCCCTTTACAGAAAAAGTGTGCCCACCCGTTCGTTAATCCAAAGCTGTGACCCAGACTGTAAAGACTACAAGTTGTTCAGCTTCTAGAAGGATATTTATTCTAAATGCCCTCACTCCCAACACTGAACCTATCAAAAGGACCCGGGCAGACATCAGGTGTGGGGTTTCCTGCTCTTGGCTCTAAATCACTATTTCCTGACTCAGTTCACCCAGTGCTACACTGTATCAAAACCCCAATTTGCAGAAATATGTACAAGTCAGAATATACAAAAGACATTAGGTAAATATTAAGGATGAAAGCGAGCAGGATCGTTATGTAAAGGGAGTTTATCTGTTGAATAACTATGGTGTATACCTGAAACTAATATAATATTTTATGTTAGCTATGTTTTAATAAAAATCTTTAAAAAAAAAAACAGTAAAAAGGTTTGTCAGTAGTCATTATACGTTTAGGCTATAAGAAACGTGGACAGCAGCCCCCTGAGCATTTGACGACACAGTGACGTGTCACTGTCAGCGGTGGGCGCCAGTCGGTTCATTTAGTCAGCATGCAGGGAGATTTCTTTGACTCACTCGATATGTAGTTCTGCTCCAAATCGACAAATCACTAAATTCAAAGAAAGTACTTTCTTTCAGTTCATTTATACCTGGTACAAAGACAGTCTCTCCTGGTTTTTGTAAGATTTCCAGGGGTTTGAATTCAGGTGGCCAGGTTGGAAGCTGTGTCCGGGGATAAATGATATTAAACCAGGTAATAGCTTCATCTTGCTGGTTCCCTCCTTCTTCGCGGGTCACCTTGATGAGTTCCCTGGGCGTGCTGGTAGGAAACAGGCACCAGCGCTTGTTGCCCTGAACTAAGGCATTCCAGGCACTGGTTCCCAGAGGGTCAATGTGAATTCCGGTTCCAGAGCGAGGTGGCCCCATTACAAACCACCTAAAGGATGGAAACATTAAGACATGAAGAGTAATTTAACTACAAACACACACACACACACCACAAAATAATAAGGTTGCAGTTTTATACGATATGTTAACTTTTATTTCAAAGACTACACAAATTCTGGGACATGCAAATGCTACGTGAATTGTGCAGGCAATAACAGAAAAGAGAAAAATCACTGACGTGGCTTACTGCTGGACTTTTTAACTATTAAAACTTCACTTACAGATCAGTGGTTCAACTTTGGTTACATGTTTGAATCACCTGGGGAGCTTTCTGAAATCCTGAGGCCCAGGCAGCACCCCAGACCAATTCAACCGGAGTCAGTAGGACTCTGGTAGGACTGGCAGGCATCGGCAACCCCCTAATTAAGGCCATGTGCAGCTAAGGAAGAGCCACTGTTTTGGAGACAGGCGAGCTGGCGGACACATGCTGTTATAGAGATGTCATAACAGGTACTTTACCTGTAAGGGGGCCTGCGCTTCTCCCCCGCATACTGGAAAAGGTCATCGGTGAAAAACTTGGGCACCTTGTAGTCTTCCAAAAGTTTTCGTCTTTTGGGATGTTCGCCGTAGCTGCTGTCAAAGATGTAAAGGGGGCTGTCATCTCGAGTGCTCTCCATATACTCGATGTAGTATTTCATCTTCATCTTCACCGAGTAGCCGTCATTATCCTCACCACATTTGAACTTCTGGTTCCGGTACTTCCTTTTCAAGCGCTCCAGAGTCCACTTCTCTAGCGCAGACCAGCCCTCCTGGGCATTCAGCAGAACCACCGGCTTGTAAGGTCTTTCATATCGCTCCACAAATTCTTCCACCGATAGCTGTAACGCGTCTGCCCTTTCCACATTATCCTGAGAGAATCAGAAAAGACCTACCCAGTTAAAAAGGAAAAAAGGAGGCGGGCGGCAAATAAGGGTGTCCCCAGGGCCAATTAGCAATGACATACCTAAGGAGCCAGATTCTTGTTCTGGCTTCTCTTTGGGGGGAAAGGACCTGCGTGGTTTCGGGCACGTCGCACACAGCGCCACCCAACCAGGGGAGGAGGACTTCGCATCACACATCCTGGCCTTTGACAGCCAGGTCCCCGAGGACCCCGCCATCCAAGGGGATCAAGGGGCGAGAGGCCTTCTCTTTGAGGGTGCAAACAGCGTGAGAGCCCAGTTGCCGAGCAGGCGTGGATGCCACACGGAAGGAAGGAGGCCCGCCCTGAAATCCGGGCCCCGACGATCCCAACCTCCGCGGGGTGCGGGTGAGCCCATCGGAACTCCCGGGTGCCACGCTCGGCGTGGGCGGGGCGGGCGGACCCTGCCCCGCGAAAGGTGCGCAGCCGCCCGGAGACACCTTGCCCCTGCCCGGCCCGCTCACCGCCACAGCCGCCGGGTTCAGAGAGAAGCTCTCGTAGTAGTTGTGCCGGGTCCAGTCCAGCGAGTCCTTCAGCTCCGGCCGCGCACTCCGCTTGGCCTCGCGGATCCGCTTCTTGCTCTTGTGGTTCATCCTGCGAGGTCACCAGCTGGTTCCGCGACGACCTCGGCAAAGCTCGCTTCCTGCCACCAACGCGCCCCCTTCCAGGCGCAGGCGGCGGCGGCGGCGGCGGCACTGAAACGCCCTTCGCTCTGGCCCGGCGCCTTTAAAATCGCCTTCCAGAAAATTCACTCCCCATCCGCCTCCCGGGCCTCGGATTGGGCAGCGGCTGCGCTCTTCCCCGCCCCCACGCCTCTCACGGTCAGTCATTGGCCTTGGCGCCTCAGGCTCCGCCTTCACACGCGTCGGGTCCCCGCCATGTTGGGAAGGTCGGATCTGCCAATAAGTCGCCTCACTGCGGACCCCACGCTCACTTCCCGTCGCATCACTTCCGGCAGCGCGCCGCCTTTCTGCGGCCAGCTTCCGGCTGGCGTGTGGTGGAGCCCCGTGTTCTCTGTCTCATGTGCTTCGCTTCGGATTAGTTTTTCTAGCCGTGGGACCACGTGGTCCCCCGAGGGGTGCTTTTCCTCTTCTTGCCATCGGGTTTTAGCGACCCGAGGGCCACGTGACACCGGGGAAGCGGCCCCAGCCGGCCCAGGGCCCCGAGCGCGCGCGCAGCCTGGCAGCCCGGCGCCCTCTGTTCTTGCCGGCCCTCCCGGGGGCCACCGAGTCCCCTCTGAGCGAACGTGACCTCCGAGGGCATGTGGTCCGGGCCCAGCGCTTTCGGTTCTCGGAGGAGCCAGGTCTGGGAGCGGAGGGGGCCATGCTGGAGGTCTGCGTCCCGCAGGTGCGTGTAGCTGCACCCGCCGGGAAGCGTCTTCCGTCCTTTGCGCTGGCGCCCTAGGACCGGAGCGGTTCTCAGCGCACCTGGTGAGAGAGAGGGAGGGGTGTCCACGGCTTCCTGCCTTAGGTTGGACCACAGAGTGAAAGGTTTGAAGTCTTTTTTTGCGTATTACATGTCTTTCAGTAAGGAATTTGGGGACCCTTTCAGGAATGGGCCTCTCCACACCGAATATTTCCTGCCAGAAAAGTGGTCTCAACACCTACAATTTTACTTGCTCTTGTTGAAGGGATTCTTAATTTAGCTTTATCTGGGACCGGGAGTTGCAACCCTCATTACCCAAATAAAGTTTCTTGGGTTGGCTCTCACTTCCAACTTTCAGCTCACGGCTGCCCCAAACCTTCTATGCGTCCGGTTTTTTCAAAGCACTTCCACATTGCAGTGTTTCGTTTGATTTTAACAGCAGCCTGAGACTTAGCTATTAGTAACATTTTAAAGATGTAAAACAGCTTACGAGGAGTTAAAGACTCATAGTGGAACCCGTTTCTGGTAGTTTCTAAACGCCTTCACGTTGAAATACCCATTTGGATTTCTCCCCAGATTTAGGGAGTGAAGATATTCCTTGTGATAACAGAGGCGTCTTTCTTTACATCCAAATCTGCACAACTCCCTCTGGTCAAAAATTCTTCATTGTACTCCTGGGTAAAATCTACCACGGCAGGCTTTCTTGTCTTTCCTTCAAGCTGCACGCCCCCTACAGTTAGTGAGTAGCATATTTTAAGCACTAACATTTCTGTTGAATGATTGAAGGATTAAGTTCAGACCTTGGTTCCATCACCTTTGATACTTTGAACACTTCAGCCTCCTTTTCTACCACTCCACTAGGGGCACCCTTTGCACTAGAAAATAAATCTTGCAGTATTGCAGTTTAATAATTGCTAACTTTGTATGCTTATCTTGTACCTGGCACTGTGCTCAGTAGTTTGCATTGACTCTTCCTAATCATCCTAATGAGATAGAATCTTGCAGTTGAGAAAACTGAAGCACAGACAGGTTGAAGGACTTGAGTGAGGTCACACAGCTAGTAAATTACAGATCTGGAGTTCCAACCCAGGCAGGCTCATTCCAGAGTTGTGAGCTGTTACCTGGCCTCCCTAAATACTAGGCTCTCACAATTGTATGCTTTTTCAAAGGCTTTGTAAGCTTCCTGCCTTCCTAATGCCAGGATTCAGCTTCAGTCAAACCTCTTTGGTGATGTCATCCTAGGACCACATTGTCTCCCATTAGCATACCAAGTTACGCCTGCACTTAAAACCCACCAATATCTTCTTGCACTTAAAAGTCAAACTTCCTGTGGCTTACAAGACCGCACAGGTCAGGCCTTGCCTTCCCTGTGACCTCTGCTTGCATTACACAACCCTTATGCCTGTGCTTTGTAGTCCTGCCAGAGGCTTTCGTTCTGCTTCTGGGCCTTTGCCTGAATTATCCTCTATCTAGGGCAGCCACCTTGTGATTATGCTCCCTCCCCCAGTTACTCTTGCATCACCCTGTTTTATTGTTTGTAGCATTATCACCAACCAAAAATATATTTGCTTGTTGCCCGTCTCTCCCCAGTAGGGCTGTGTGTGTGTGTGTGTATATATATATATATATATATATATGTATATATATGTATATATGAGCATACGTATATATACTCCATGACTGTTAATATCAGCCCAGAATAGCTAAGCTAACTCAGTCCCCAGATAAATGATTGTTGAAAGAATGAGTATGGTGTACTATCACATGGTATTGCAGTTTTATATCCCACATAGGATGTGAATTGGAGAGCAGGTAACTCATTTTTGTAATGGATGACAGTGCCAGGCACTCGGTAATTTCTGTAGAAGTAAATATCCCAACTTCCAGCAAATATTTGTGACATACAAAAAAATTATTTACAGGTCCTGCACCCTCAATACGGAATGTATGTTTGGCCCTGTGCTGTGGTCCTGGCCCAGTACCTGTGGTTTCATAGAAGATGTCTGCCGGGCAAGGCTATCTTAGAGGTACAAGTGTCCTTGAGGTTTCAGAAAAATCCTGTGGTCAGAATTAAGTCTACATGCTTGCTGTGGCTTTTGTTAAATATTTTAAAATCGGGGGTGGTGTTGGGGGTGACTTGGCCAGCTTGTAATGCATGTGAGCCAAGAATGCTTTTTACATTTGTAAAGTGGTGTTTAAAAAAAACAAACCAAAAAACGTGGCCCACCAAAACTAAAATATTTACTAACTAGCCCTTTACAGTTTGCTGATTCCTAAGTGAAGCTAATTTTAGTTATGGGTTCTTGGCACGGAAGCAATCGTTAAGGCCCTTTTTTCTAGGATGTCCCAACTGGGTCATTTGGGCTCTAGCACTTGTAGTCTTTCTCACAAAACAGCCCTTTCCATTTTTGAAAGTCATGAGATTAGTTTTAAAAATGTATCCTAGGCTTTCTCATCACACCTGACCTGCTTATCTTAAATCAAATTTTGTCAAATTTGCAGAAATAGTACTATACTTCAACCCGAAGGCTTGACAAAAATCAGAAGCTTAAGAACACTTAACTTTTGCAAAACCTGTAAATGAAGGGTAGGGAAGGCATTTGGTATGTATGCTTCTGGCCTCCAAATACTGGCGATTGTTAGGCATTCAGAAAAGATCAGCAATCTCTATGCCCACTGGAAAAGGAGCCTTTCAATCAGCACGTTAATAAAGGCATTCCCTGGTACTATTCCTTAGTATGTTTAAGCACCTTGTCATTTGCAAGGCCCAACTGGTTAAGTCCTTTAGTAAAAAGCCATATTGTAAACTTGTCACTTTATGCACCTAAAAGCCATTAAAATTGGTAGTTAACTGGCTGTGCCCACAAACCACCCATTGAACTTCTGGGATCTGGTGTCCTGTAATTATGAGCTCCTTTACAGACCACAAAACTTAAAACGAGACTACTTCCCTGGGCATATTAAGCAATGAAACAACTGCCCAATACATTGACTTTGGCAACTAATTGCCTGTTGCAGAATACAGGGCTCTGTATGAGATTTTATAACTGCCCTTGGCCTAATTAAATGGAATCACAAGGAACGCATTAAAAAATTAAGGCCTAAGCTTCATATATGAAGGCAGTGTTAGTTATGTTATAGACAAGTTAAAAGAGATACTATGAGCCTGAAAGATAAAACACAATAAAATGGGCACCTATCAGCTATGATCCCATTCTTTGCAGTTTTAAACTTTGAAATGTCATCTTTTAAATTTATTAGATTGGAGCTGGAGCGAGCCTTCCAGGAATTGTAGCTGCAAAATGTGGTGCTGAAGTAATACTGTCAGACAGCTCAGAGCTGCCTCACTGTCTAGAAATCTGTCGACAAAGCTGCCAAATGAATGCCCTGCCACAGGTACCTGTTGTAGGGCTTACGTGGGGTCACGTATCTCAGGACCTTCTGGCTCTACCATCACAAGATATTATCCTTGCATCTGACGTGTTCTTTGAACCAGAAGGTAAACCTTTTTTACTTTTCATTTTTCAGTAAATTTGGTCACAGATGCAATGTTAAGTAGAAGTCTCCTTTCTTCCCAGACTTTGAAGATATTTTAACTACAGTATATTTTTTGATGCAGAAGAACCCCAAGGTCCAACTGTGGTCTACTTACCAGGTAAGAAGGTAAGCCTAACTAATCTTGGTTTAGTCTCTGTTTTATTAAAAGTTAACTTAAAGCTTTATCACTCATGCAAAACAGTTTATGGATAAAATGAAACTATCTAAAGCAAAACAGGAAAAGCATGATTTTTAAAAACAATTTATTTTCAGTGCTGACTGGTCACTTGAAGCTTTGCTCTACAAGTGGGATATGAAATGTATCCACATTCCTCTGGAGTCTTTTGATGCAGACAAAGAAGATATAGCAGAATCTGCCCTTCCAGGAAGACATACTGTTGAAATGCTGGTCATCTCCTTTGCAAAGGACAGTCTCTGAATTACACCTACAAGCTGTTTTGGGACAATGTCAATACTGATTAGCAACCTGGCATGCCAACTAGGACTCAGGCCACTTCAGCTCCTTGAGAATAAGCAGAGGATCTGAAGATGGTCAGATGTTGGCCTTTCACTGTGATGGGTACCTAGACAACACTCAATGGGTTACATAACCATGAAAACAAAAATTAAAACACCTATTAAGAAAAATGACTCCGATTGTTCCTAATCATTAAAACAGGGCATAAATTAGGTTATGAGAAGGGGGTACCCACAACCTTAAGAAAGTGCTACCTTAGAGCATTGACTTTAGGGATAGTGGGTGCTGAACTGCCATTTCCACTTTGAAAGTCAGCTAAACATTTCACTTTCATACTATACAGTCAGTAACATTCACAAGAAAATTGCACAGGTCTTTCAAATAAAGGAAAAAAGACCAAGACATAGTCTGAGAAAAGCTAACACCAAGAAAACGTTTTAATTAAACTATAGAAACAATGGTTATCGTACAGAATATAAGCAAAAAGATAACACCATGTTATAAGTACTTACAAAGTTACAAACCATTTGCTTCCTTAAACATTTTTCATATTTTAAGTTCATACATGATGATCATTTTTACCATTTGGGGGGTAGGAAAAAAAAGGTGTATTTATCATCAGCTAGATGTGCTCACTGTATGCTCCGTTATTTATATGCAAGGCCCGGGTGACTGGAAGTGCAGTTGTCAGGCATTTTAATAAACTGGACAGCCATTTGTTTCTGCACGACAAGGCATCTTTACACAGGAGCAACCAGGAGAAAACAGGAAACAGCCAAGCACTCTGCACTGCAACACGCCACCTTAACAGCTAACCAGCATTACTCAACTGCTACACAACTGCGCCTAGTGCACAAAAATACATAAGAGAAGAGATTAGAATTGTGTTTGGTAAACAAGCCTTTCAAAAAATCAAGTCTTTTCACCTGAAAAGTCTTTATACAAATTTGGGTTCAGATTACCATTTAGATCTGAAGGTAAATAACATACAAACAAATATACACCAACTTTTGTAGGTTTTTAATTTTAAGGAATGAAGGCAATGCTGAGTCAATCTCTTGACAGCTTTAGGCTGTGTAATGGCTGCACATGTTTCCTTAAAAGTCAGGAGGCCACAAATTAGGTTACCAATCTGTTTAATTTCAAACAAAAAAAGTCAGCACTATATAAACAAAAAGGAAATTTTACCTCAAACATCCAAGCCAATAATGAAATCTGAAGTCGTTCACCTCACTAAATTACAAGAAATTTGAATAACAGCAACAAAATGGCACATAAAATGAAGTTTGCCACCTGAGGCAAAGCTTAAAACAATAAAAAGTTAGACAAAATGTTACAAAATAACCTTTTCAACAGCCAGTTGCTTGTTCCAAGGACTCTTCGATGAACTGAATTATGTGGTCCTTTTCCCTCCTTTTCTGTTATGTTGCTTGTCGACACATCTAGGTTTGAAAAGAAAGAAGTTCAGTTTACCTTCCATTACTGTGAAGTCACCCAAAGTGCACATGGTTTCAATTTCAGGCATGTACTTACTAAGGCTCTGGTGAAACAAGTAGGTTACAAAAAGGTTCCACCCAGCCATTCTCATAGTTTTTTAAAGGCCCAATTAGGAAATTTTCAAAGGCTACCATCAGCACTTACAAATCTGTTTATGTGTTCTTGGCCAAATAACCAAGGTGAAAAATGGTAATGGGGGGTAAAAAGGAAAAAAAAAGACAAAAGAAAAAAAAAAAAGAGGGCTGTATCCAAACAAAAACAACTTGAAATCAGAAAATTAGTCTACATTTCAAGATAAATTTTAGTTTTCAAATGAAACATTTGTCAATTGAGAATGCTTTAATATCTGAGCTACTTAGGGCCCTTTCCTTTTAAAAAATAGGACCAAACAATTTGAGAGTTAAAGACACACTATCCTTTCCCCACCCAGTGCAATACCTGTAAACTTTTTGGGGGTTCCAAAAGTTCATTGCTTCTTTTTGCAATTCGTTTGCCACATCCATTAGAATAATGAAGTCCCAGTCAGTACAACAATAGTTGAACTGATCGTTTTCTCTAAGAGGATAGTGCATCTTTAACATTTAAAGACAAACCTGCTCCAATACACGCCCACAGAAACTGGTCCCTGGAGGATCAGCCAAATCAGTTAAAATCTGCAATACTGGCCAATATTCTTTTATCAAACAGGAGACCGCAGCTTTAAAGGGGAAAATGCAGACGTTGGATAAAAACAGCAAGAAATAGTCATTTTCATTAATAGGTCTCAAACAGTTTACGAAACAGCCATTATTATCTAAGCTTTATACACATCCTTTCTGCAGACCCCTCTTCAGTATTACTCCCAAAGCTAAGTTAGCTCAGAGCAGCAGTTGCTAACATTAGGAGTCACTTTTCTATTAACACGGATCAAAAAAATCTACTCCAAACCCCATTTCTGAATTCGGGTCACGTGTACTTGAGTACTTCGGAGCCCCATGGGCATTACCGTTTGCTTAAGAGGACACCGCTCCTTCCTCTTCAGGAGACTTGGGAGGACTCTTGGATCGCGACCTGGACTTGGACTCCCTCTTGGACACGGGCGGAGGGCTCCTGGACCTGGACCTGGACCTGGACCGCGAGCGAGATCTGGAGACCGAGGACGACTTGGACTTGGATCTTCGCGCCGATCTCGATTTTGAGGTTGACCGCGATCTCGAGCGGGTGCGGGACCGAGACTTGGAGCGGCTGTAGCGGGATCGACTCCGGGACCTGGACCGGCTCCGACTTCGGGATCGGCTTCGGCGACGCCGCCTAGGGCTGCGGGAGGGGACAAGCAGGGCGTCAGGGTTCCGCGATCCGGCCGCGCCCCGCCCGCCCGCCATTATCTCGCCGCCAGCCGCCGAGACGCCATTTCCCTTGTCGCGAGCCGGGCTCCTCCGCCCTCCCGCCCAGGCCCGGAGCGGCCCGCGCCCCACCGGCAGCCACAGCGGGGGCTGCGCGGGGAGGGTCCGGAGTGTCGGGGCTCGCGGGGAGCGTCCCCCGCCCCGGCCCGCCACCACGTGTCTCCACAGACCTTTGCGAGTCAGCCCGGGACCCCTCCCCGCTCACCTGCGGCTCCGGCGTCCGTAGCCGCCACCCCCGTACCGGCGGGGGGGCGGTCCCCGGCGGCTATGGTGCGAGTCCGGCGGGCGGCCGTAGCGCGCCATCTGCACGCGCAGCTCGCGGCCATCCAGCACGGCGCCGTCCATGGCGTCCATGGCGTCCTCGGCGTCGCGCTTGTCGTGGAAGCGGACGAAGGCGAAGCCGCGGGACTCCTTGGTGTAGCGGTCTCGCGGGATGTACACGTCGCCGACGCGCCCATACTTCTCGAAAACGCGCCTCAGAGTGTCGGGCGAGGTGCGGTAGGTCAGGTTGTCCACCTTGAGGGAGGTCATACCCTCCACATCGGGAGGCGGGCGACCGTAACTCATGGCTCTGTTGAGTCGGCCGGGCCTCGCAACTGCGCGCGGAAAACCTAACGCCCTGGACGGGCCTGCGCACTCAGCTGCGGCGGCGGCAGCGGTGTCCTCAGACTAGCTCGGCTCGACGCCGCGCCTCAATTCTGGCAGTTGGCTTCCGCGTGGAAACGTTCTGCAAGGCCTGACAGAGGACCCGAGCGGATAACACCTTCTACCTCGTACAGCGCAGAAGCAACCGGACGAGCGGCTTCCTCAACGCCCGTTTATATCCTTCCCCACAAAATGGCGCCCGCGCCACCCGGAAATAAATCCTCTGATTGGCTCGCCCCGCCCCGCCCCCCAACGTCTCCGCCGCGCGTCCCGCCCCTGTCCGGCGCACCTGCGCAGAACCCGGCGGGCGGGCCGAAAAGCGCGGAGTCACTGCGGCTGGGAGGGGGAGCGGAATTGCGGGCAGTTAGAAAGCCCGCGAAACGACCCTTCCGGCTGGGTGCTCTCGTGCCGGAGGAGGAAGAGGAGGTGCTCCCCTTTGGGCTCCGCCTTCTTTTCCTTGCCAGTATCCGAGTTCCACTCAGCTTTTCTGCTCGGCTCTCAGCCCCGCCTCTGTGAGAGGGGTACTCCTTCCCCCCCTTGGCTCTCTGTGTCCCCAGCTGCCTCAGACCCAGCTATGTCATTTTCAGGTCGCCTCCGGCAATTCCCCGCTTTTTCACTGGGTTCCGCTTTCAGTCCCCCTTCGTCAGTCCTGCGGGCTCGGCCCCTGTCCCCTCCTCAGGGGGCGAGAGAGCCCGTGCAATACGCCTGCGCGTTTTGGGCCTCCCGGGACTACACGTCCCAGCGGGGCGAGCGGCTGGCGCCACGGCTGTGGTCAGGTGACCAGGTCGCCTGACCTGCACTGAATCAGGGCCGGGCGGGCGGGGCCGCGCCGGCCGCTGCTGCTCGCCCTTGGTCCCTAATCCCCTCGCGGGCCCCTCAACGTGGGGCAACAACGTTCTTGGCGCGTCTCCGGGTGTTGGGCTCATCCCTACTCGGATTGTATCCTAGGAACCTGCTAACTGTGCCCATGGAGAGAACTTCACCCTAAGCCCGGGATTCTGATCCAAGAACTGGAAGTTGACAGCTTGGCTACCTTGCTCCTGGACCTGCCTCCTCTCACCATCTCATTTCTTTCCCCAGGATTGTCAGTGGGTTCGCCCCGAGGAGAGCTGACTGCCCTGGGCTGCTGCTGATCTCCGGCAGAGTTGAGCCAAAATGTCCCCGGAATCTAAAAAGCTTTTCAACATCATTATTTTAGGAATTGCCTTTATGTTTATGTTCACCGCCTTTCAAACTTGTGGAAATGTGGCGGTGAGTTGGGATCTGTTGGCCCTTCTTTGAAGTGCCTATCATCATGCATTCCAAAAGTGATAATAAACGTTAATTATATCTTAACAGTGCGCTTAAATTGCGCATTTTATTTTGTCACTTACCCTTACTCGTTTTTTATGATTAGGTTTGACTTCATGTATCAGATATTTCTTCTTAATATATCGGATGTGATACTGCCATTTATTTTTTTGATTTGATTTGGGGGTTGTATGTTGACCTATTTTTTTCTTGTTTGTATTAAGGTCTGCATTATACTGGGAGTTAAGACAGTTTTAGCAGATTCCCCCCTACCCCCATCATTGGCTTGTTTTCTGTTTTGTAGTCCTTTTTCTTCTCTCATAGTCGGCTTTCAGTATTAAGTATTGAGCATCTTGAATTTTTACTTTATTCTAAGAACTTGGAGACTTTTACTTTATTCTAAGAACTTGGGAGGGAGATTGCAAAAACGTTTTGGTTTGTTGATTAGTTTTATCTTCCACACAGCAAACTGTCATCAGGAGCTTAAATAGCACAGAATTTCACGGCAGTGGATATACCAGGTATTGTACTGTATGTTTGGGCTTACTTTGTATATTACGGTGGTTGCTTAAATCCCTTCAAAATCACTGGGGATAAAATACTGTGATTGAATTGGTAGTGATTGCTTTTTTTCTTCATTGTATCCAGACTGTTTGGCAGAACATAATAGAATAAAGGTGATGAGTTTAGGTTTCATGTAGAGTTGGACACTGGGTTTGAAACCCTGGCTTCTCAACTTAATCGCTATGTTATCTTAGGCCAGTTGCTTCCATGAGCCTGGTTTCCTTGTTCAGATAAGGCATGTAAAGTGCTTGGCACATTACCTGGTATTTAATAAGCGCTCAAGTATTGTATTACATCTTTCTAATCTTAAACAGAGGATGTTTTATATGATTCTTGAAACATTTGGTCTCCCTGTTTTTGTAATTTCGTAATGATTAATATACTGTCATCAGGAGCTTTTAGATTTTTATTAAGGTGGTTAGTGTCAATTTTGCAAAAGGAGAAAATGAAGTGAAAAGAACTTCGTTAGTCACTAGTACATTGTGACTGGAGCTGGCAATGTAATATGTACAAGTATCTAAGCACCAATAGTTTCTTATTTCTCTACAGTGAGATATTAGATTGTGGCCAACAACCGTCCTGAGTGTCATTCCTCTACCCACCACCCCACCAGTCTTAATTGGTTCTTTGTTACCTAACCTAAGCCTGATCTTGTATATGGTATTTGAGAGTAAAGGGGTTTTAATGCCCGTTTTTCTAAATGATTGGTAATGCCACAACTTTTTGTAGTACTTTATCTTCATGTGTAGTCTAAAGAACAAATGAAAGAACATTTGATATTTGAGAGATTCATAACATCCAAAGAATAATGTACTAGTAGTCAATAAATTCAGGACCTTCAAAATGGTTTCAGTCACCCGGGTCACAAGACATACATACTAGGTAGGGCTGGCTCTTCAGTAGCTGAATCGTGCTCAGTGAGACCACTCTAGGTTGAGTTAAATCAATTCTGGATTAAGCAAGTTTTAACTCTCTGCTTGTTATTTATAGCAGCAAAATTGCATGCGGTTGCCAGGAGTTGTAGGCTAAGCTTGTAGAGCAGACTGGTTGACTTGGGCCCCTGGAGTCAGATTACCAGGTATGGGACCCTGGGTCCACCATTCACCAGCTAGCCAGGTGGACTTTTGGCAGGTTACTTAGTCCCTCTGTGTTTCAGTTTTCTTTTCTGTGAAATGGAGATGACAGTGCTTTCTTCACAGAGCTGTTAGGAGTAAAAAAGGAATTATGTAGAAAGTACTTGGCATAGCCCTGTTATACTCATCTGTTATACGTCAGTTGTTATTATAATTTACTGGTATCTGAAAATCTATATTGTCCAAGGCAGACTGATTCAGAGAAACATTTGATGAGACTTCCAATATATTGTACAAGTGAAAACTTTTAACGTATCATTCAGTTTAAGGATATAACTATCATAAACTCTGACTAAAGAACATGAATGCTTATTGCGAAAAAAATCTGTAAATTCTCAGTAGATTTGAAGAAATGAGCTTTTGAAACAGTGCTTCAAGAATTTTGTTTTGTTTGTTTTTGTGTGTGTTATGTGTACAGCATGGCAATTATTTATGGAGTGTTCTCAGCTTCAAATTTGATCACGCCATCCGTGGTTGCCATTGTAGGACCTCAACTCTCTATGTTTGCTAGCGGTTTATTTTACAGGTGAGTAGTGTAATTTTTTCACTCATTTACTTTCAGCATCTTTCAAACACATAGTAAATAAAGGGACTTGCCGACTTGGATGGAACAGAACATAGGCAATATTTTAGGGATTTGGCTCTCCGCTTGACGCGCAAGGATACCATACAGTTTTAATGTGATGGGATGTGTGTATATTTGCTTTCGTTTTACTATTACTAAAAATAGTATCCAAAAATCTCTTTCCATGAGAGCTGAAAAGAACTTCCTGTGAAATAATGTTATTTTATATCGAGTTGACTGACAGGAATTCAAATGAAGTAACTAAACTTTTCTTCTGGGCGGTGGAACCACAGTCCCATCATATGCTGATTAATTGGCAAAGCCTAATTGCCAACCTTCACTCAGTGTCTGATTTTACAAATTTGAAGTAGTAAGTTAAGAAATGAGTAGGTCCCATTTGTCCCTTTTGTTTGTTTTCAACACTGGAGAAGTCCTTCACAGGTTGAATTTTAAAAGAGGAGAATGCTCAGAATTGATTCCTAGAAGGCATAATTGGCATTCTATTTCAGGTACTGTTTGACTGTAATACGTTGACCTGTTATATTTTAGCATGTACATTGCCGTTTTTATCCAGCCTTTCCCATGGTCCTTCTACACAGCCTCTGTTTTCATTGGAATTGCAGCTGCTGGTAAGCATTTTGGAGTTTATTCTCTCCATTTTCTGGGGCTTATCTAAGAGTGTCGTTTATGTGTTTAGTATGTAAAACTAAGTGATTTCATTCCCTTGATAACATTTTGGTTTGAATTTTAGTACTTTGGACAGCACAAGGAAACTGCCTGACAATAAATTCAGATGAGCACACTATTGGGAGAAACAGTGGAATTTTCTGGGCACTCTTACAATCTAGGTAATAATCCTTTTAGAGCTCAATCTTTCCTTTAATATTTTTTGTCACACCATTTTTTTTTTTAGACCTTTGTTGAATTGAAAACTCACATGTTCCATGACTTAAGTTCTTAGCTGCATATGATACAGATTTAAAATTTTATAGAATTACTTAAAATGCGTGGATGGATATACCTCAAATGCATTGGAACTTATGATTAGTAAACAGAAAATAATATTAACCATAATTTATTTAGCATTGGCTGTACTTCAGGGACTTTTGGGTTCATTACTTAATTTCAGTCATCTTCACAACCTCATGAGAGGAGAAAACAGGCTCAAAAGTTAGGTAAATGATCTGATTTCAACCAGCATTATCTGGATTCCCAAGGCCACATCCTTCAGATCTAGCTACCCTACCTGTTAGCTGTTTATGTATGTATATATTTAAATTCAAAAGTGAGACTAACTGTATCAACACTGAATGATACAGCATGTTATATATTTCCTAAGTGAAAAGCAACAACAATCATTCTGTCATGGAATCTATCCTGAGGATTTACCCTCACGGATCTTGCCTAAAATGTTGGCATTGATAAGGCTTGACAGTTTTAGGCGTTGCATATTAAGAAACTGGAGTGCAAGTGAATAATGCCTTCTCTAGGAAAGTGCAAAATAAAGTATCTGATTAGATGCAGATAACTAAATCATGGATTTTTTTTTCATAGATTCCTTAAAATATAGGGTTTTAGAATTAACATAAGCTTATTTCCAGGGAGTCATTTTCAGAGTTCTAATAATAAATCACATGTTTCGAAGTGAGTCAAGACTTCTTTGAATGGTGGTTCTGAATCAGGTTACTGTCACGTGGAGGGAGACTGAACTCCATCTGGGTCAGTTAAGTTTTTCAGAAAGAATCAGGGAGGAGTTGATACTTTTAAATGATCTAGGGCAGGTAAATACTTTTTAAATTTTATGTGCCTCCATCTTTCTCTTTTTAACAAGTAATGGAAAATTGTTTAAAAACTATAAATATGAAAATAATTTCCCAACATTCTCTCTTTCATTTTTTCCACAAGCTTGTTCTTTGGAAATCTCTACATATATTTTGCTTGGCAAGGGAAAACTCAAATATCAGGTTTGTTTTATTCATTTCGCTTTATTCAGATATGTGCAAAGCACAATAGCCGTTTCACAAAAACAGTCATTATGCTTTGTTCAAATTGTTCTGATGAACCTTGGTACCTTAAGTTGTCTCAGATCTTAGCCTTTAGTAACTTTTGTCCTTGGATTATATTATTAAGCTACAATGATAGTCAATGACTATGCTTCAAATGACATCTCAAGGTATGGGAAAAGGTTATGCTATGAATGAGTATACGACTCAGTTGTCTGACTTTTGAATTCTTAATTGTTTTGTTTGTACGCTTCTTTGATTGAAAAATAGGATTATGTTCTTGTGCTATTTTTCTCTTGGCTTATTAGTATTTCTCTAACTGAAAGACAAAGGTGGAGATACCCAGTTTATCTCCTTGTCCTGGGTTTTTACTGATGCAATAAAGTAAAAAATTAATAAGGAAGTGTTTGGACAGACACAAGCTCTGAACATCATAATAACTCTGCAGTTGTTTGCATGGTCAGCGCTATCTACTTTCTTCTTTTTTCTCCCCAGAGAGTGACCGAAGAACAGTGTTTATTGCCCTGACAGTGATTAGCCTCATAGGGACAGTTCTTTTCTTTCTCATTCGGAAACCAGATTCTGCAAACATCCTGGGAGAAGATGAGTCTTCTGATGACCAGGACCTGGACGTCAACGAGTAAGAAGTTGGAAACGTTCCTTTTATTTGAAAATATATTTTGAGTAGATCTAGTTTAGAGATGACCAACCTTTTTATAGCCCCAACTGATACCTGATCTTGAGCAGATATGAGGGAAAAGTTTTAAAGTAAATGTGGGGAAGAAGGTAAAGGAAACCTTGCGGGGGAGGAAGAAGGAAAAGGAAGGTAGACAGAGGCCAGGGAGGTAGCTTTGCCCCAGCCCACGCCTCCAGGCCCTCAGGGGGCTTATTATAGAATGAGTGCATTTCTCATCCTAGAAATGGCTTTCTTTGATATCTCACTGAACTGAGTTGAGAGTATGTGCAGCTGAGTGCTTGCTGAATCGACTGTATTTTAATAGTCTATAGAGTATAAATCAATTTCTCTTTATTTGGGGCCTGAAGGGCAAAAAATTAGAATCCTACATCCCATCCTATCCAAGCACATGATGAGGGTACTATCAATTAAATAGGGTCTAAATAGTATTTATGTCCAGGGAAGGCATGAGTTTTTATGGTGAGGAAAAAAGTTTTCCTGTTGGTTAAAACATCCTACCTTTTTTGCATCAGTAATGTATTTATTTAAGTCAACTAGATCTTCATTAGGTTTCTCTCACTCTCTCTTTTTTTTTTTTTTTGGTAAACAATATCACTTAAAGATATAGGAGAAGTAGGTATTACCCTCTTGGCTGGTAAGATAATCAAAGTAAACAACTACACTTATATTACATTATCTTTCCTAATTCTCATAAGTGGTAGTGTCCGTATTTTATAAATGAGGAAACAAAACTTAAAGAAATGAAGTAATTTGTCTAAAACCCTGCAATTAATAGATGACAAAGCAAGACTCAGGCTCCGAAGCCCACGTTTTTCATCAGTACATTATGCTGCCCCTAGCCTTGAACCACAGGTGGTGGTATTGCTTTTGAAGAGTATTTATGCTGAAGGAAGGACTTACTTTTTACATTGTAGGAGTGGTGGCAAATTGAGCTACCACAAGTTGTTTTTACAGGGTGGAGATCGCAGAGTACAGGAGATTCCTGTCCTGCCTGACCTATCATATCTGAAAAAAACATGCCTGGATATATGCGATAAACTTCATGTGAAAGAATGGTGTTCCGATATTAATAAAGAACCCCCCTTTAATCACCTTCTCTGAAGTGAGGACGTGGCTCCAGGGGGCTAGGAGCATTGAAGGGCACTGGGGATATTTGCCAGACCATGTAGAGGACAGAAGCTTTACAAACATCGATGAAAATGTGATAGTCTTTTTGTTCTTGCTTCACTTTTCAGGGGGAAAAAACTGTTTTTCTTTACTTTCTTAGGTCTGCCCAGAACAATATGACAAAGGCAGTAGATGCATTTAGTAAGTATTTTCTGTATCTGAAATGCAGAAACTGTTTGGGAAGAACTTCAGCACTGGCCTTTCCCTTTCCCCCTGGTAACTTTGCTTTGACGATACCCCAGTATTTTCATTTTTCCACGTATGCTGCTCAAAAATACATGAGTCCTCTCAGTAAATACCGCTATAACATGAGGGTGTGAGGGATGGGTGATATCCGACAACACAACCCCAGTGGGTGTGTGAGGGAGGCATGAGGAAGCTGCAGAGAGCTCAGGAGTTGGGAGTTTAAATGAGAAAGTGAGGACACACACGCCATTTCTTCAGGCATCACTCACAGCTCCTCAGAACAGAGCGGGAGCTCTGGTGACCCAGGAGTTAGGAAGAACAATCGTGGTCATCTGTTAAGGGTTCTTGCTGGATAAACCTCTTTATGTATTTTATTTTATTCTCAACAATTCTATGAATATCATTTAACCTGTAGATATAACCTATCATTATTTTCATTTCACGGAAGAGAAAACTGAGGTGTAGAGAAATTATTTACCCAGCGTCAAACCGCTAGCACATGACTGAGCTGGGATTCCAACCCAAACTGCCTGACAGGCAGAGCCAGTGTTTCCCATAATGGCCGTCTTGTGGTTCCTTCAGAAACAGACAACTGTGGCTTCCAGTTCCAAGGAGGCCTGATACAGGTCAATTCTTTGCTTCTGCCTGCACCTCTCAGTTTCTTTGTCTCCTAGGAGAGTGAATCTGATTGAGGTAGTTACTATCTCATACGGATCGGCCTTTCGGGGCCACATTCTCTCAGTGAAGCCCTCCCTAGGCCACTGGGCCAAATACACGTACTTATATGGCTAGCCTATAGGCTGCCTTGAGCTAGGGTGCAAATTCTTGATCTCATCAGCTGTGGCCTAGGTCAAATGACACAAAGCCCGCCAACTTTTAGCCAGGAATTCCTGTAGCCTCTTTTTTTAGAAAGGGCCTGTGGGTGTGGTAATCTGAGCCTTGAATACATAGTATATCACTGTTAAGGCCGTTTGATTAGGCTTTTACTGTGTGCATTTCTTATATTTCAGGCATACATGCATAATTATAAATTGGGCTATACGTTATAATTAAAAAGAGAAATAGCCTGACTTTCCCCAGCAAGATGGAAGGAAGGTCACCACAGTCCAAGGCCTGGCTTTCAGCTCTGCAGGTCTGGAAACGCGTTTGTCAGAAGTCCTATTATTGATCAGAGGGCCCAGAGGGGAAAGGACTCAAGCTAAACAAACTCACAGAAATCACAGTTAACCATTTATGATGGCATGTTATAGTTTTCAGTGAGCCCTTTCATGGATATTTCCTTCGTGTTATTGGGGCCTAGAAAGCCACATTGGTTTATTTGGCGAGCATGGAGCCAGGAAAAGAATCTTCAGGCTATGGGATGGTTGGTTCAGCTTTGGGGAGGCAGCTTCTCTGCCCTGTTACTAAACCCCGCTTTCTGGCTGTCTGTTGATATTAACCAGATTCAGGATGCCCCTCCTAGATAGTTATACGACCTTTGCCTCCACGTCTCTGTCTATGGAATGAGGCACTGACACAATTAGAGCTGTGTGCTTTTCATCGTGGAGTTAGTTGTTTACTTGGTGGGGGTCAGGAGTAATAGGATATTGGATTGTCAGATCTGAATGGGGAGAAAGAAGGCAGCAGCCAAAAAAGGTCCGGCATCTAAGGTGCTGTAGGGCAAGCAGATTCAGGAGATGGTTCCTGAGCATTTGGGGAGTGACATGCGGTTCTGTGGTGGCAGGAAGCCACAGGCAAAGAGGAAGAGGAAGAATGGCCAGGCTTCAAGTAATTTGTCTGTGGGCCAGAGTTTCATGTATTATTCAATCATACATTTCTTCAGTTGATGCTATGACGGATGTTGTGCAGAAACGTTTCCTACTTATCTAAAAAAGCTCTCAATTCCTCCAGAATACATACAGAGGGTGCCAAAAAAATGTATACACATTTTAAGAAAGGAAAAAACTATTAGAATTGTAATACTTGATAAATACCTATAATAAAAGACGAATACAAGTCATGTATATACTTTTTTTTTTTTGGCACCCCTGGTATGTTTAATGCGATTCTAGAAAATTTTAGTGAAATTTTAAATTTATTTTTTGGTCTTGATGAAATGACCTAAAATTCACCTGAAGGAATAAACATCTGAGAATGGCCCAGAGAATTTTTAAAAAGGAGAAGAAAGACTTTCCCTAATAAATATTAAAACCTATTAGGAATTTATTTGAAAACATTGGAATAGAAAGGGCAGGAGGCCTAAAGTCTAAATCAGATCCATGTCCATATGGGAAAAGAGAATACAATAAAAAAGACTCTTAAGCAAGGTTAGGTAGCTGGCTGCATAGAAGAATGTATAGATTCCTATCCTATATGCTTCCTCTCTTGCACTGTAATTCCAGGTAGGTTAAATATAAAAAGGAAACCATAAAAGCAATTGAAGAAATTAACTGGGTAGAGAAAAGCCTTTCAAGCAGGTCTGTTAAACAGTAAGGGAAAAGAACACTCTTTGGTTACCTAAAATATAAAATTTCAATCTCTCAAAACAACCTCAATGAGGGCCGGCCGAGTGGCGCGTTGGTTAAGAGCTGGCTTGGGACGCCAGAGGGCCCCAGTTCGGATCCCACATATGAGGGCCAGTGACACTGCCCTCTACGGCTAAGATGCTGAACAACAGCTCAACCTGGAGCTGAGCTGCCATGAGTCGCCTGCGACAGCATAGGCTGCAGCCCCTGTGGCAGTGGGTTGCCATGGGCTACCGTATGTAGCCAGCAGCCAGCGTGAGCGGCCAGCAGCCGCCGTGAGCGGCCGTCCAGAAGCCGGCTACTGATCTGCCTCGCCCGGGAAGAGTGCAATGATGGTGCCAACTTGGGCCAGTGAAGCAACGTCCTCCACAACTAAGCTGAAGAACAAAACGACAGCAACTTGTCTGTTCCCCTTCCCCCAATTCCCCAATAATAAAAAAAAAATCTTAAAAAAAACCCCAACCTAATGACTTTAAAATGGCTGGGAAAACATTTGCAATATGTGATAAAGAGTGTTATGAACCAATAAGAAAAGCATAAACAGTTCCATAGAAAATAGACATTTTATAAACATTGGGAAATTATTATAGTGTAAGTATAAGAAATGCATATTAGAAAGTTTCTATCAAATTTCAAAAGACAAAGATAATTCTCAGTACTATGGGGGGGTAGGTATTTACATGTATAAGACCACACTGCTGATAAGAATATGCGCTTGTGTTACTTTCTGAAGAGTGGTTTATTTATCAGTAAGCATCAAAAGCCTTAAAATGTTTGTTCCTTTACCCCAGCAATTCCACTAATAGGATTATCCTCAGGACATAATTAAGAATTTTTGTCAAGGTTTAACTACTAAGATGTCTATATTAGTGAGAAACTGTACACCTGTACAATAGGTTACCCTAGAAATTAAAATGATCACTATGGATGTTAGAAAATATTTTCTCTATTATGAGAAAACAAATTATAAAATAGTATATATCTAGTGGAATCTGTTTTTATTTAAAAAAATAGGAAAAGTCTGGAAGGAGACCCATTACGGTATTAGATTATGGGTTTTTTTCCCTTACTAGGATACCTTGAGATATAAGTCACATACTATGCAATTCACCCATGTAAAGTATACAGTTCACTCGTTTTTAGTAGATTTCACAGAGTTGTGTACTTGTCTCCACAATCCATTTTAGAACCTGTTTATCAACCCCCAAAAGAATCCCTGTACTCATTAGCAATCACTTCCCATTCTCTCCCCACAACCTCCATCCCTTAATCTACTTTCTATCCCTATGGATTCGCCTATCCTGGGCATTTTATATTAATGGAATCATACAATATGTGGTCTTCTGTGATGGGTTTCTTTTATCCAGCATAATGGTTTCAAAGTTCATGTTATAGCATCTTATAAAGTTTGGGTGGTTTCTAGTTTTTAGGTATGAGTAATGCTGCTATGAATATTTGTGTACAAGTTTTTATATGGATATATGTTTTCAGATCTCTTGGATATATACCTAGGAGTGGTGGGATTGCTAGGTCACGTGGTATCTTTGTGGTTAAGCTTTTGAGGAACTACCAGATTGTTTTCAAAAGTGGCTGTAGCATATTACATCTCCACCAGCAGTGTACGAGGATTCCAGTTTCTTCACATCCATGAGTTGTTATCTGCATTTTTTTTTAAGATTTCATTGGGAAATTGGGGGATGGGAACAGTGTTGGGGAATTGGGGAAGGGGAACAGACAAGTTGCTGTTCTTTGGTTCTTCAGTCTAGTTGTGGAGGACGTCACTTCACTGGCCCATGTTGGTATTATCATTGCGCTCTTCCTGGGTGAGGCAGATCAGTCGCCGGCCTCTGGATGGCTGCTCACGGTGGCTCTTGGCAACTCACACCAGCTGCTGTCCACTCACGCTGGCTGCCGGCCACTCACGGTAGCTTATGGCAGCCCACTGCAGCAGGGGCTGCAGCCTATGCCATGACCAGAGTGACTCATGGCAGCCCAGCTCTAGGTTGAGCTGTTCACCATCTTAGCTGTAGAGGGCGCAGCGTCACTGGCTCTTGTGTGGGATCCAAACTGGGGCCCTGCGCTCAGAGCTGGCGTCCAAAGCCAGCTCTTAACCAACGTGCTACTCGTCTGGCCCTATCTGCATTTTTTATTATCGCCATTCTAATGGTTGTAAAGTGGTATCTCATGGTTTTGATTTGCATTTCCCTAATGCTTATAGGCCATTTGCATCTCTTTGGAGAAACATCTGCTTATATCCTTTGCTCATTTTTTACTTGGGTTATTTGTCTTTTTATTATTAAACTGTAAGTATTCTATATATATTCCAGATAAAAGTCCCATGTATATGACTTGCAAATATTTTCTCCCATTGACTTTGCATTTTCTTGATGGTAACTTTTGAAGCACAAAAGTTTTTAACACATGTGGACCAGTGATGCAGATTCGCGTCTATGCATTTAAATGCCCCATCCTCAATGTGTTAATTTTTTATGAAGCCTAATTTATTTATCTTTTTCATTTGGTGTCCTAGGAAGGCTTTGCTCAGGTCACAAATATGTACTTCTATATTTTTTCTAGGAGTTGTATAGTTTTAGCACTTACATTTGGGTCTGTGATTCATTTTGAGTTATTTTTGTGTATGTTATGAGGTAGGTAGGAGACCAACTTCATTCTTTTACATGTGGACATCCAGTTGTCCCAGCACTATCTGTTGAAAAGATGGTTTTTACCCCCTTGAATTGTGTTGAAAATCAATTGACTTTAAAAGTAAGAATTTATTTCTAGATATATGTCTGTCCTTAATGCCAGTATGTGCTGTGTTGATTATTGTAAGTTGTTTTTTTATTTTTTTTAGATTTTCTTTTTGGGGGAACTGGGGAAGGGGAACAGCCAAGTTGTTGTCCTTCAATCTTAGAAGGCGCAGCAAGCTCAGCTCCAAGTCCAATTGCGCTGCTCAGCTCAACGTGCTGTGTTCAATTAGTTGTGGGTGAGCGTAGCCACCATCCCATGTGGGAGTTAAACCAGCATCCTTGTTGTTAAGAGCTCACGCCGTATCCATTGAGCCACCCGGGCGGCAGCTCAGCTCAAGGTGCTGAGTTCAGTCTTTAGTTGTGGGTGGGCATAGCCCACGATTCAAACCGGCAGCCTTGTTGTTAGGAGAACATGTTCTCACCAGCTGAGCCATCCTGCCTCCTGTTGGCAGCTCAGCGGCAGCTCAGCTCAGGTGCAGTGTCACTGGCCCATGTGGGAATCGAACCGGTGACCCTGTTGCTCAGCGCTCACACTCTTGGGCAAGCTTTTAACCAACTGAGCCACTCGGCCAGCCCTGTAAGTTTTGAAATTGGAAAGTGCGAGTCCTCCAACTTTGTTCTTTTTCAAGATTGTTTTGGCTATTGTGGGTCCCTTGAATTTCCATATGAATTTTAGGATCAGTTTGTCGATTTCGGCTAATAGATTATGTTGTTGTTGTGTGTGGACAGAGAGATGAATTTTTTAGAGCAGTTTTATGTTCACAGCAAAATTGAAAGGAAGGTACAGAGATTTCCCATCTACCCCCTGCCCACACCTGCACAGCCTCACCCATTGTCAACAGCTCCCACCAGAGTGGGACATTTGTTACAATGGATGAACCTGCGTGGACACATTACCATCACCCCGAGTCCACAGTTTACCGGAGGATTCACCTTGGTGAACATTTTCTGGGTTTGGACAAATGTATAATGACATGTATCCACCATTTATAGTATCATACTAGATTCTGAAAGCTAAATCTTTTGATTATTTAAAACCAAACACAGTTCGCTAATGTAATTTTTAAATTAATTAAAAATATTGTTTTAAACATTGTATTGATCATGTATTTTTCCCCCCTGGAAATAGGTAAAAATGATTGGTGGAAATATCTTGCTGCATTTAGTCTGACTACATTTCAGTGAAAATAAAGAAAGTATCCCCTTTTGCACACGGAGAAATTCAGGACAGAGTGTTTGTGACCTATGTGGATCCACTCACTGTCAGTTTAGGATACTAGAGTAATGACCTTAAATTATGAAATGTGAGCAGATTCAGAAAGACAGTTAAAACTTGCAGTTTTTAGAAATGCATTTTTCCGTGTCAGATTTCAACTAAATCTAGCAGCGTAAAAGCAAACATTAAAGTGATCACAACAAATATGCAGAACCGAAGTCTCAGTTCTCAGACCCAGAGCAACCATCTCAGGAAGCGCAACCCCGGCTGCTGTGGTCAGCAAGCTCCCGGTGACTCCGATCTCCATTCGGGCTGGAAAGCTGCCCCGGTAGCTCCTGAGGGAAGTCAGCACTTTCCCCAGGCTGGCTCCGTTAGGAGCCTAACCTTTAATCCAGTGTGCTGGAATATTCTGGTATTTGTTTGATTCTATTTCTTTTCTCTGTTCCATGGTTGTTAGAGCTCAGAGGTAATTAGAGCTGGAGAATGTGTTTTAGAAAACAGTACTCTAGACTATATAAGCAGTTGAAATAAACATTTATTTATAGAGCAGCTTAAGTTCGTACCTTACGCATTTTAATCATTGACCTTTGTCCCGGTGTATTTGACAAAGGGGTGTTTTGCTTGAATACATGTTTTAGAATTTCTCTTTAATTAAAATCTAGTTAAGTACTCCTAAATGGTTTTCTTTTTTTGCAGAAAAGTCTCTTAAGTTATGTGTCACCAAGGAGATGCTGCTTCTCAGTATTACAACTGCTTATACAGGTAATGCGATTAAGTCCTGTTTTGGTTTTCTGTTGCTGCAATGAAGGCCCCAAACCATTCTTTATTATTTTTTCTCATAGTTCTGTGCATTCACTGGGCTCGGCTGAAAGGTGCTTCTGATGGTTTCAGTGGGGGTCTCGTGTGGATGCTGATAGAAGGCAGCTGGGGCTCGAAAATTCTAAGAGTTCCCTTTGCATGTCTGAAGGGGTCAGATGACAGGCTGGGTCTCCATCTCTCCAGGTCATCTCAGGGCAGCTGCATGACCCCCTCCCTCATGATTTCCCCTCTGGACACAGACTTCTCAGTGGCTAGAAGCCCCAAAGAGGGCAAAAAGAGAAACGACCAGACCTTAAAGTTTAGCCTGGCACTAGCCCAACATGACCTGCCATGTTCAACTGGTGGAAGTAAAAAGCCCGCCAGCCGAAATTCAGTGTGGGAGCATTCTACGCAGGGTTGTGACCTTAGGGCAAAGTGGAGCACTGTAGAAAATAACCAGGAGTAAATATAGTTTGGTATAGATTAAGATAATTTCTAATCAGAAGGAATGAGCTTTGTGGCTTACCACTGGTCACGTAGGTGACTGATGTGATACTGGGTGGAGCACTCTTATATCATAAGAATGATGAGGAAGTCTATTTCCTTTTAAACAGCGCTGTGATGTGCCAGTTACCACTATTGTCTTTATATGCCTCAGAGGCATAGACACTTGCTTTTTAGGATAAATAGACTAAATATTAAACATCCTTAAAATTCAGCTAAGGTTTGTAGCATTAAGGAATCAGGACTTACATTGATCTGCCCTAATTTTTTAAATTTCTTTTCCTGGGAAAAAGGGTTTAATTTAAACATTATTGTGCCTTTAAGCAAAAGTGGGTAGTACGTACATATTGGTTTTCCACACTTGCCTTCCTGTTCCCTCGGAAAGCTATTGATAATGAGCATGAACACTTTCGTATTCAGTGTTACAAATTTATGTTAATTATATCCTCTGTCCATCCCATCCACAGACAGAGGGACCTTTTTTTTTAACACAAGGATGGCTTTGCTTATTTGAGTTTTATATTTTATCTGAAATGTGTGACAACTACCATCTTGTGGCTAACTCCATTTCATCAGTTATGTAGCATAAACATGCTCTGTTTGGGAGTAATATTTCAGCCCAAGTGAGTTTTGTGTTATGTGTTTGTTTTATAGGTATATAGCTCAAATCCTATTAGACATGAAGAAAAACTAGGAAAGGGAGACTGTGAATGTGTACTTCATTTAAATCAGACTTTTTGCCCCCTGAAAGGTCTGGAATTGACTTTCTTCTCTGGTGTATATGGAACCTGTATCGGCGCTGTAAATAAATTTGGAGTAGAAGAGAAGAGCCTCATTGGACTTTCTGGCATTTTTATCGGCATTGGAGAAATTTTAGGTTGGTTTAAAAAAAGTTTTTGCATGAAATCAGTTTTTTATAGTTATAATAAAAATTTTAGTTGTGCTTTATTTTACCTCTCTGTCCTTGAATTTCTTTTTCCCTGCTTGTTTTTACCCAAATGGGTATGTCTTTTTTTTTTAATCACTGTTCTAACGTAACAAATTTATAAAACATTAGCCAAATAACTCACAGACCAAGCCATGAATAGGAAAACACAGGGTCTCTCCCAGCTTTTCCTCTTAAAATACTCAGGAAAGTGTCTTGGAACCCCTGAATTTCTGACACCAGCTGGCTGTTTAGGGTCCCGAGCGCAGGACCTCTGTCCCCGTGGAGTACAGATGTGGCACCCTCCCAAACCTGTCATTTAGGGGGTTTTATGGAAGTTTCATCATGGAGGCATGATTGATTAATTCACTGGCCTTGGTGATTGAATTCAATCGCCAGCCCTTCTCCCCTCCCCGAGATTGTGGGGCTGAAAGTTCCAACTCTCTAATCAAGGCTTAGTCCTTTTGGCAACCAGCCCCCATCCTGAAGCTTTCTAGGGTCACCCCAGCTCCCCTCCAGAATCGCCTCATTAGCATAAACACTGGTATGGTTGACAGGGACACCTGATTCAAAAAAGATTTATTCGGCACTTGCAGTATATTGGATACTGTGTCACATATGAGGAACTTACCAATTCAACAAATATTTGTTGTGTATCCATTGTGAACAAAACAGACTCTGCCCACAAGGAGCTTATACTCTTGGCGAAGAACACAGATGATAAAAAGCACAGGCAGCTTAGAGTGTCAGATGGTGATAAGCACTGTGGAGGGAGCGGACTGTTGGTTTGTGTTTCCTCCTTTGTTGGCAACACCTGAACAGCACAAGTATATAAACATTTGAACCTGTGGAATACAGTTGTAATCATTGCTTTAATGTCTTTGCTCTTTCTAACATCGGTGATAGTCTGATGCAGTTTTTTTACGACTTTATTGGGATATAATTCCCATGCCATTTTATTCATCCATTTAAAGTGTTTTTTAGTATAGTCACAGGGTTGTACCGCCATCACCACAATCTAATTTTAGAACATTTTATCACCCTTCCCCAGGCAACTGCTAATGTCCCTTCTTTCTCTATGGCTTATTCTGGACATTTCATGTAAATGGAATAATACAGTATGTGGTCTCTTGTGTCTGGCTTCTTAGCATAATGTCTTCAAGGTTTTAGCAGTTTTCATTCCTCTTTATTACCAGATACTATTTAATTACATGGATATACCACATTTTATTCATTTGTCATTTGATGGACATTTGGGTTTGGGGCCATTATGACTAATGCTGCCGTGAACATCTGTGTACAGTTTTTATGTGAACAGATGTTTTCTTTTCTGTTGGGTGGATACACACCAGGGCCTCGAATTGCTGGGTCCTGTAATAACTCTGCGTTTGACTGAGCTTTCTCCTCCTGATGGGTCCTGTCTTCCTGCTGCTTTGCATGCCTGGTAATGTTGCGGATACCAGACCTCTGCCTCATTGGGTGCTGATGTTCTTGTAGTCCCATCAATATCCTCGAGCTGTGTTCTTGGATGCGGTTTATTTTCTTGGAAACAGCATGATTCTTTCGGGTTCTGCTTTTACAATTTGTTGGATAGGACCAGAGCAATGCTGACTGGGACTGAAATTTCTCCCTCCTGAGGGTAGACCGTGCTGTGTACACCCAGTGCTGTGAACCACAAGATTTCCATTCTGGCTGGCGGGACCAGGCACAGTTCCCAGCCAAGGGCAGGACACAAATGCCTCTAACCCCCTGGGACGGCCCTTGCCTGGGCCTCTGCTGATTCACTCATGTTGTGTGCTGGTCAGCACTCAGTGAAGACTCGGGGAACCCTCTGCAGATCTCCACAATTGTCCCTCTGGGCAGTTGTCCTTTCTGATACCCTGTCCTGGGAACTCTCGCCACCTTGTATCCCCAGACTCCCAGCTCTGTCTCCCCAACTCCACCTGCCTTCCCTGTCTGTAGCTGCAGCCTGGAGCCCCTCTCCTCCGGCAGTGGGGGACAGGAGGGGGTACTTGTAGGGCTCACCTCACTTGTTTCCTGTCTCTCAGGGATCACAGCCCTTTGTTGCCTGATATCCTGTCTCTATGAAACCATTGCTTCATATTTTTCTAAGGCAGGGTTTTTTTAAATCCTTCCCGGTTATTCCATCTTTCCTAGAAGTCTGTTCTGATTTTTAAAATTTCTTCTGTTTCAATAGTTAATTCTTATTTTGTATATTTGTCCTTGATTAAATTAGCTATTGGTTTTTCTGTTGTATTTATTTTTTCAAAGAACCATGATTTTGATTTATTAACTTGATCTTGAGTTTTTCTGTTCTCTACTTCATTGATTTTATAGGTGGAAGCCTCTTTGGTCTGCTGAGCAAGAATAATCGTTTCGGTAGAAATCCAGTGGTGCTGTTGGGCATCCTGGTGCATTTTATAGCTTTTTATCTGATATTCCTCAACATGCCTGGGGACGCCCCTATTGCTCCTGTTGAGGGGACTGATAGCAGTGCCTACATCCAATCCAGGTATAGTGACCATCATTTTTCCAGTAATTTAAGGAAGGGTGGAAGATACGATGGCCAGACATTTAAAATGGAGCAGTTAATGCTTTTCTGAAAGTCTGTTATCTTTAAAAGGTCGCCTGTCAAGTGTTAATGGAGCCAGAATGACTTTAAATAGGAACCCATGGAGAATTTCGTTATTTTTGTAATTGTTCGTTTTAACCTTTCTCCCCACTAAATCTTTTCCTTGCTTTATGAAGGAGCACATAAGTATCTGATTTGAATTTTATAGCTCTGCTGTTTTGAGCAGTGAAATCTCTAGAAGATAGAGCCTTGAGGAACAACAGTGAGGAACCAGGGGTAATTTGCCAGCTGGGCTGGCCAGCCCATCCTTCCAAAGCAGATGCTCTAAGTTTTGAGGATATTGTTTTATTGTACTTACATTCGTTATGGCTGAGACATTTATATCTAGATCTGCATGCTAAGGGCAGCCCTGCCCAAAACACAGTATTCCATTCCCACATAGTTATAGCCTGAGCTTGCTAGACTGTGAAGGTTGAGCATAAATTCTTCCTTTGTAAATTCCAGGATTTATTCTTGTTTCAAAGTGTTAAAAACTTGAAAGTAAAATGCTTTTGTGGGTGAGTTGCTTTTACATTTTAAATGTCTCTAGCAAATATTGTTAATACTCATCCTAAATTAATTTTTACTTTATTCAGCAAAGAAGTCGCCATCTTCTGCAGTTTCTTGCTGGGTCTTGGAGACAGCTGCTTCAACACCCAGCTGCTCAGTATTTTAGGTTTCCTCTATTCTGAAGACAGTGCACCAGCTTTTGCAGTCTTTAAGTTTGTTCAGGTAACCTCTTCTTCAGATTGTGGGTCCCTTTTTTTAGTGCTTTAACTTTGTTTTCTTAGTATTCCTTAAATGGAAGTCAGGGATGTCCTTTAAAAGGATTTGTGATTAGAATTAGGAAGCGGTGAGTAGTGTGACCCCCTCCACACACTTTTTTCGCATTTTACATTTAATCTGAGTCTCTACAGCTCAGATTTGAGACTTCCTTCCTTAAATACCAGAATTCATTCATAGTACTTCTCACTGTGTATGTACATTTTTTTATTGCCCCAGTTTTTCACAAAATGCTATTTTAAATAACAGAGGTTGTAGCTTACTTGATTGTTACCAGCTCTCAACAGGTGTTTATGGGGCATGTCTGTGAGCTAGTGACACATGAAATCCCACCTGGACGCACAAAGAGCAGAGAGCACCGCCAGCCACAGAAAGCTGTGGGTCCGAGAGTGGTGGGGCTAATGGTGGAGCCTGGGTCACCTGCATGCATTTTGTGATTTGTTTTCTTTATTCTTAGTCCATTTGTGCAGCCGTGGCATTTTTCTACAGTAACTACCTTCTCCTCCATTGGCAACTCCTGCTCATGGTGATATTTGGGTTTTTCGGAACGGTTTCATTCTTCGCTGTGGAGTGGGAAGCTGCCGCCATTGTAGCCCGGGGCTCTGACTACCGAAGTATTTGAGGGAGAGGAGGCATGCCTCTTCAGACAACACAGCTGACTGACAGAGCTTGGCTGTAGAAGCCTCCTTTCATTTTCACAATACATTGGATGATGGTTAGTAGGGGAAAATCAAGGGCCTGAGACTGCTAACTCTGCCAGAGTTGGTAGTCAAGTTTACAGATATTAGCTGTTCAAACAAGAGAATAAGGGAAACCTGTTCTGTCAGTTGTAATTGTTCAAAGATGTCTTTCACTTCATCTATCTCAAGTTCCTTATAATCATGTTATAGACCGTAAATGTTTTCCTCTCCCTCATGTTTCTTTGAAAGATCTCGCCTCGATTCAAAATACTAGGCCATCTTTCATGTAGGGATTCTTGCTGGGTATCAAGTATGTGTTACTATGTAATAATAGGGAGCATATGGCACCGCACATATGTGTCTGGTAATGATATTTCAATAAATATTGAGATGCTGAAATGGAATCCCATCTTTGAAAAGATCTGCACTTTATTCCTCTTTAAATGTGTTGGATAAGTTTTTGTACCTTGCAGTTAGTTTGTAGCAAGGACCGGCGAGTTAAGTATTGTAAAATGAAGTAAAAATTGTCTTAAGTCTTAAAAACAGCAATCTGACATTTGTAAATGAACAAAAACACATTGAAAAACCAAACACATTTACTGGAGGAGGATTTTTGCTAGTAATTTTCTGAGAAGATGCAATGCAAGAAAAAGACCTGAGATCAGGTGGCAGGCTGTCGTCATGTAGCAGACACCATTCATTCCACACACAGGCCGGAATGCCATGTAACTATTTGGGGACATATTTACTTGGAAATGTTAACTTTCTCCATAAGAACTTGCTTAAAAATTTTTAATTGACATATAATTTAGAAACCATAAATTCACCATTTTAAAGTATACAATTTAAAGGTGTTTGTTTGTTTGTTTTTAGTATATTCACATAGTTGTAAAGCTATCACCATGATCTAATTCCAGAACATTTTCATCACTTCAAAAAGAACAGAACCCCCATGCCTGTTAGCAGTCGTGTCCCCCCCCCCCCCCC